GTAAAATTTGTAAATCCTGAGTTTTCAGGGTACGAGGCATTCCCGAGTGTGATGGATATCAATAAGATACAAGAGATTTTGCCTCACAGGTAGAAAAAATCTCTTATACATTGTGTTTTTGTGGCTGAATTTGTATTGGTTTGATCCGATTTTGGGATTTGTTGTGTAGATTCCCGTTTTTGTTAGTGGATAGAGTGATAGAGTATAAAGCTGGTGTATCTGCGGTAGCTATTAAGAACGTGACGATTAATGACAATTTCTTTCCTGGGCATTTCCCTGAGAGGCCGATTATGCCTGGAGTACTCATGGTTGAGGTAATTGCATTGCTCAAGCTTCAGTGTTTTTTGATCTTATAGACATTCTCATTTTGCTCAGATTCTTACTTGCAGAGGAATTTGAATGCTTTTATATATACAAACTTGAGTTATAGTTGAATAGGCTATTTTGAATGGTGACTCGGGTGGATTCGTGTCTCGGTTGAAGTTTTGATGGAACTGAAGGTGAAGCTTTTGCGTAAAGATTTGAGTGTTTAGTGTAGTTTAATGGTCAGTAGAGTCCTCCAAAGCTTTAGAATTTAAGAAAGAGACTGGATTTGAGAGTGAGATTAGCTATTCTAAAGGATATCTTGGATCGTAGCTTTATATAAACAGGTGCTCTACTACGATAAAGCCAGTAGTTTTCTATCTCAAATGTATGTGGTATGAATGATTAGGAGGCCCTTTATGTATGGTTGCAGTTAAATAGAGATTTTTACACAACTTGTAACATACCAACACTTTGAACTGTAAAAATGTGTTTTGTTTGCATAGGCCATGGCTCAGGTGGGAGGTATAGTGATGCTACAACCAGAAGTAGGGGGATCTAAAAGCAACTTCTTCTTTGCTGGAATCGACAAAGTCAGATTCCGGAAGCCTGTGATTGCTGGCGATACTCTGGTGATGAGGATGACGCTTGTGAAGTTGCAGAAGCGGTTTGGGATAGCGAAAATGGAAGGGAAAGCGTACGTAGGGAACTCTGTCGTATGCGAAGGAGAGTTCTTGATGGCTATGGGGAAAGAAGAGTGATCATGCTTTTGGTTCTTCTTACTCTTGTGGCTGATGAAATTACCACACCTTAAGTTAATGTTTCAATTCTATCTCCAATCTCTGTTGTTTGTTTTCAATGGTGACCATTTAAAAGAAAAGAATGAAGAGATATATTATGTGTTCATTTTTTATATTCCTCAAATCAAAAAGATTTTTTATTTTTCTCTCAAAATTCAAACAAATGGATTTCCTTCACTAGATTAGACAGAATACATTTCGTTTTTGAAGATTACAATTGATAATATGTAGCAAAGTTCACTTTTATATATGATTTTTTTATTTAAATAAGATGAAAGAATACATATTTGGCTCGGCAAGATAACGAAATCACATGGATTATAACATTTGTATTTGTAAAATAAAGAAAGAAAAGTTACATTTTAGAAATGTGATTATTAATCAAAGCATAAAGCAAAAGCTAAGAAGCGAATCTTTAATGTTGATTGATTGATATGGATTGATCACTTTATCACTTGTACTCGAAAATCATGTTGTTCTCAGGAGCAAGTCCAACACAAGCCCTTAGTATGTTCTCAAGCATTGCACGCTGTTTCGACAAAGCGTTCACAACTGGCGTGCCGGGTGGAACCTAACATTCATCAAAATCAGAGTAATTTTTAATAACGTTTCTAGGACTCAAAAACGGCACGATATGTTTTTTTCGTTTTGCTTACCAATGGTGCCTTTGAGATAGTAGCCACAGGATGGAAAAAATGGAACTTTCCCTGC